CGACACTAGGATCGCTCTACCTGACGCTCCTCGTCATCGGGCTGGCGCTCTTCCTCTCCCGGCTGATGCTGCCCCGTAGCTGTGAACAGCGTCTCTTCACACCTGCAGCTGTGAACAGGCGATGCCCCTCTCCCGGCTGATGCTGCCCCGTAGCTGTGAACAGCGTCTCTTCACACTTGCAGCTGTGAACAGGCGATGCCCCTCTCCCGGCGGATGCTGCCCCATAGCTGTGCACCGCGTCTCTTCACACTTGCAGCTGTGAACAGGCGATGCCCCTCTCCCGGCTGATGCTGCCCCGTAGCTGTGCACCGCGTCTCTTCACACCTGCAGCTGTGAACAGGCGATGCTCCTCTCCCGGCTGATGCTGCCGGTCGCTCTCGCGGCCACGGGGCTCCTCTCGGGGGTCACTGCTGTGCGCCCATCTCCCCATCTCTCCCCATCTCTGCCCATCTCTCCCCATCTCTCCCCATCTCTCCCCATCTCTCCCCATCTCTCCCCATCTCTCCCCATCTCTCCCCATCTCTCCCCATCTCTCCCCACATCTCCCCACATCTCCCCACATCTCCCCAAATCACGGCGGTGCGCCTGCTCATAGCATGCTGATAGTCCTTGTGAGCACACTGCAACACAGTGCCGGTCACTGCGGTGAGGCGATGCTTGTGAGCACGCCGCTGCCGCTGCTACTCATGATGCCGCGAACACCACCTGGCCTCGGCTCCTCTCGGCTCCTCTCGAGCGATTAGAAAAAGAAATCCGCCTCAGGTGCGCCTGCTCGCAAACTTCTTCCCGCAGCTGCTTGTCCACGCGCCGCGGCAGGAGGTGCTCTGGTCGTGCGGGCAGCAGGCCGTCCGCTCTGCCGTTGCATGCTCAACCACACGGCATACATGCATACCTCTGATCGGAGTCTCGAATGCTCTCGCAGTGCGTCGTCCCGCTCTCGCTGACGGTGTACGCGCCCGAGTCGCTGCTGCCCGACGGCTTCGGCGCAGAGGTCTCCCCCAGCCCCTTTCCACCACCACCTTGCGTGTGTGTGGAGACGCCTACCTTCCCCCCGCTTCCCTTAGGTCTACCTGGGCTACCCCGTCCAGTGGTTCTGGTACCTCGCGGCTCCCTTCGCCATCGCGCAGGCCGGAGATAGGGGGAGATAGGGGGAGATAGGGGGAGATAGGGGGAGATAGGGGGAGATAGGGGGAGATAGGGGGAGATAGGGGGAGAGATGTACCTTCGCAGCTCCCTTCGCAACCGCGCAGGCCGCGCCTGAGAGTGACGTAGAGAGTGACTCGTGCACAAGCATGAGTAGAGTGCACCGCTGTGTGCGCAGTGAGCCATTGGGCCGCCGCCTCGCGATCGCACAGGCCGCCCTGGCTGTACCCAACAGCTGCCCGCCCGTCGCTAGTCCTCAGTAGCTGCTCCTTCAAAGTTAGGCTCCTTCGAAGTTAGAGCCCAAGACCCCCCCCTCCCCCTCCCCCCCCCCCCTCCCCCCCCTCCCCCCTCCCCCCTCCGCCGCAGGCCGCCCTGCTGCTGTTCCGAGGCTCGGAGCGGGCTCTCATCGTGACGACCGCTCTGCTCGGCTCATTCGCCTCTCTCAAGGGCGTGGCGATGCTGGGCGAGTACTACCGGGGCGAGTACCTTGTCGAGGCGTCCGAGTCATGATTGATCACTGAGACACTACGTGATTCACTAGAGAGGAGATCTCCTCACTTGGCGAGTGCTTTGTCGAGGCGTTCGAGACGGACACGGCGCGAGGCGCACCTCGCGCGGGCCTGCTCAGCGGCGTCTTCCAGGTGAGTTGACTCGTTCATTAGTTCGTTAGCCGGCGGCGACACAACCAACACACACACACACACACACACACACACACACACACACACTTACACACACACACACACACACACACACACACACACACACACACACACACACACACACACACACACACGACACACACACACGCACACACGCACACACACACACACACACACACACACCGCTCACCCACGCGCACCGGGCCTTGCACCTTTAGTGCCGCGGGGCTCCTGTCGTCTAGACGTGGAGTCGGAGGGCTGCCCGGCCCTTCACCACCTCGTGTGTGTGGAGAAGTGTACCTAGCTTACCTCACCTCTCCCAGGTGGTGCTCTTCGTCGCCGGCATTGCGGTGCAGTACGCCGTCTTCCCGCCCGACGGCATGCGCGAGGCGAGGGCGAGGGACAAGGCGCGGCGCCAGTCCCGCTACCTCGAGCTCAACGACAACTGACGGGGCGGAGGGAGGCGCGTGCAGCCTCGTGGCGCCAGGGACCGGCGCGGCGCCCTGGCTACCTCTCGAAGCGCCGGCTTGTACGGCTTAGTTTACGCCCCGGTTGCCCGTTACGAGCGGGCAGGGGCCCGCCCTGCCCCTGGCCGCGGGGCGCGGGCGCCGGGCGCTACCGCGGGAGTAATTTTGATTTCGTGTGGTTGGAACCCGGGAGTACACATGTACGAACGTCCTTGATGCTTGAACTCCAGGGTACAGGTATGCCAGGCCCTAAAACGCTAACACACGGGCCCGCACAGGCCACAGCCGTGGCGGAGTGTCCGGTTCGCTAGAGGCACTCAGAGCGAGTGGAGCCACAGACACACACGCCCTGGCCCCCCCCTGCCTGCCGGCGGGAAGTGCACCGCATGCCACATATGTGAGGAAGGCAGACCTGTCGTCCTCCGCTGGGACGGCGCTCTCTCACCCGGACGGCGGTACCCGCCAGACGGGCGGCGAGGAGGCGCTGGCGCCGGGCAGCAAAGCTAAGCTCGGCGCCGACACGGCCGACGCCCCCGCCTGCTGCCGCATCTCTAGCTCCGCCGTCGTCTGCTCGAAGGCGGTGGGGCGCGCGTCGGCGAGGCTCGCCCTGCCGGCGCCTCGCCCGCGAATGTCGCCCCACCAAAACGGACAGCAGCACCCGTCGCCGCCGCCCTCGTCGCCGCCGCCGCCCCCCTCGCCGCCGCCCGCCGCCTCCGAGCGGTCGTCGCCTCGCCTGCTCTCCGCCTCCTCCGGCACCGCCGTCGCGATGGTCCTACGCGAAGGCAGCGCGCTATGCGGCTCCGTGATTGCCTCTCTAGCGGCTTCCCCCGCGGGCGGAAGCAGGTGAGAAGCAGGTGATAAGCG